TTAAATCACTTTATTGGCGGCTCATACAACTCTTATCACAATCCATACATCCACCAATTGTGTAAAGCACATTTGTACATTCGTTACCCTCATCACTCTCAAAACATTTGCTCTCCACGTAAACCCCTGGCATCATCTCCTCATTTTTCCCCTCCCTCCCTGCTCCCACCTCCCTCATGAACCCTTGATAATTTATAAATTATTGTTTTTTCATGTCTTACACTGTCCGCCATGCTGTCGAGTTGGTTCTGATTCATTAGTGACCCTTTAGGACAGAGCACAACTGGCTTTATTGTAATGCTCAATAGCCACTCTATGGCCCTGGCCTGACACTGAACCCACAATATCTCTGAGGTTGGCCTGTAGTTGATAGACTAAGAAGGGTAAGTATCTCCAAGTTACACCAAGGTTGACTGGGACAGGAGGAGGCACCAGAGCGCTAACTTCTCTTCTGTCACAGCTGGAAGCCACTTTCCTTCTTGACAGCGTGTCTCCAATGGATAAGCCGGCAGACCAGAATTGGGAAGGAGTTGGAGCTCTGGTGATGGGAGTGGGTTACACATTGGGTCACTAACCTCAAGGTCAGTAGCTTGAAACCATCAACTCTTCCCCGGGAGAAAGATGAGGCTTTTCTACTCCCACAAAGAGTCTTGGAAACCGACAGGGGAAGTTCTACTTTGTCCTAAACAAGGACCTAAGGCGAATTGATGACAGGGAATTTTGGGGGGATTTGTTTGGGGACTCTTGTTTTTGAGTGTAAGCTTTTCCATTTGATTTGTGATCTAAAACAAAATCGGAACACACATTCATGCGCAGATGCACAAAAAACCTCACACCTTTCAGGCCATTTGGTAGTTGTAATGTGCTGAAGTTCCACCGGAACTTTCATAACAAAACAGACTGTGTTAGTCTGGGTAGGCTAGAGAAACAAATTCATAGGCACTCTTAGGTGTGTAAGAAAGAGCTTTATAGACAAGAGCAATTGAATATTGAGTAAACATTGCAGGCCAGTCCAGATCAAGTCCATAAGTCCGATATTAGCCCATATGTCTGATACCAATCTATAAAGTCATTTTCAGACTCACCAAACACATGCAATGACGCCGAATGAAGAAAGATCACAGGCTAGTGGGTGCAAAGTCTTGTGGATCCAGTGGCGGTAGAAGCGTCTCAGTAGTGGCAGAGCTCTCCATGTGGCTTCTCCCTGGCTCCATCAGCCTCTCTCCATGTGTCTTCTCTACAGGGATGTCACACAGGGAGTGAGGAGAGAGAGTGTGTGTTTGTCTCCTGCCTCCAAGGAGAAAATACAGGAGTTCCCAGAATCTTCAGGAGAAGGCCATGCCCACCCAGAGGCTTCATTGGCTATATCCTGATTGACAGGCTAGGCTCCACCCCTACACTCTTAATCCTCAAATTGACACCAGATTATGTAACTACCACACAATCTCACTGTCATTGAGCCATTACTAATTTATAGCAACCCAGAGGCCTGGGTAGAACTGCCCCTGTGGGGTTCAGAGATGGAGTAGAAAGCCTCATCTTTCTCCGGAGGCTCAGATGGTGGTTTGGAAACGTGTATCCATGATACCACCAGGGCTCCTAGTGGCCCACAATTTCCTAGTCCCTGAATCGCAGCAAATGCTGGGTCTAGTCATCACATACTACGTTTATGCTGGATATTTGCTGTGCGGTACTGTGCTGCCCTGATAGCGTCATGGTTACCTGTTGCACTGTGATCTATAAGGTCGGCAGTTTGAAAACAACAGCTGCTCCTAGAGAGAGCTCAACTCACTGCAAGTCAAGGCCAACTCATAGTGACCCCCCTGGGGGGTTTCTGAGACTGTTAACTGTTAAAGGGAGTAGAAAGCCCAATCTTTCTCCCGTGGAGCTCTTGGTGATTTCAAACTGCTGACCATGTAAATCCCAGCCCAATGAGTAATTACTACACCATCAGGGCTCCTACCTGTGATAGAAAGATAGGGCTTTCTACTCCTGTGAAGTTACACTCTTGAAAACTCGCAGGGGCAGTTCTACCCTGTCATAGAGGGTCACTATGAGTTGGCATCGACTCGGTAGCAGGGACTTCGGTGTTGGTTTTTCTGTGCTGTACAGCATGGTAGCCGCCAACTTCATGGGGTTACAGTGTGCCTGAAATGTGGCCCTTCCAAACTGAGACGTGCCGTTGCAAGCACCAACTATCTCTGGGAATCAAAGACTTAGCATGAAAAAAAGAAGGCTAAAATCCCCATTAAAATAGATATTAGTGACACTGAAATGATATTATTTTGGTTGTATTGGCGGATTGTACCATTAAAGTGAATTTCACCTGCTGATTTCCACTTTTGTAAACGTGGCGACTAACATCTTTTAAATGACATCTATAGACATCTTTCTATTGCATTGTACTGCAATAATCATAGCCCTTGCTGTTCTAGCAACAGGAGTGTAAAAGACCTAAAGGGAAATTAGGGATGTGCTGATACCAAGGGCTCAAGTAGAAAGAAAATGCTTTGAAAATGATGCTGACAACATATGTCCAAATGTGCTGGACACAATGTACGCATGTCTGGATTGTGATAAGCACTGTAAGAGCCCCCAATAAAATGATCAAAAAAGAAAAGAAAAGAAAAATTAGCCCAAGTTTCACAAGTCATGATGACTTTCCTAAACCGGAAAAGGTTGATAACTTTTTAGAAAAAAAAAAATTCTTTGTTTTTATAGGTGAAAGAATAGCCTTCTCCTAATACTATTAACCTTTATCCCCCAAAATGTTCCAAAGGATCATGTGTGTGAGTGTGCATGTGAGTGGGTGGTTAGGTGTTGTTGAGTTGCTCCGACTCCTCTTGGCCCTCTGTACAACAGAGCGACACACTGCCCAGTCCTCCAGCATCCTCACAATCGTTCTCATGCTGAAGCCAGTTGCAGCCACTGTGTCCGTCCATCTGGTTGAAAGCCTTCCTCTTTGTCACTACCCCTCCACTTTACCAAGCATGATGCCCTTCTCCAGAGACTGGTCTCTCCTGACAACATGTCCAAAGTACCAGAGATGAAATATTGCCATCCTTGTCTCTAAGGCGCATTCTGGCTGTACTTCTTCTGAGACGGATCTCTTTGTTCTTCTGGCAGTCTATGGGACTTTTCCAGCACCCCAATTCAAATGGGCTGCTGCTTCATCGGTCTTCCTTATTCAATGTCCAACTTTCTCATGCATATGAGATGCACATGTGAGTGTTTGCCTTTTCTTCCTACCTCTGTCTGCCAGTTGACTTATTCAGTGTAAACTAGCATTAATTGAGCACCTAATTTGTACTAGCCATGATGAGAGCTGCTCTGGATATGAGGGTGAATGAGGCCTGTTACCCACTCTTTAGGAGCTCATTTTCTAGAGCATAGGTTCCCAAACTGTCCCATGGCACCGAGCACCTGTATTGAGTAATACAGTCCTTCTGAACATGAACTTGAAGCCATTTAATCTTGGCTTAGAAAACACAACCACCAGTTGCTGTTAAGTGGATTCCAGCTCCTGGGGAATCCCATGAGGGTGAGAGCAGAACTGCTCCATAGGGTTTCCAATGGCTGATTGTTCAACAGTAGGTCACCAGGCCTTTGGTGCTCATACAGCTCTTATCACAATCCATCCAATCCATTGAGTCAAAATCGACTCAATGGCAGTGGGTTGGGTTTTATTAAAGTCAGCAGTTCAAAACCACCAGCCACCCCTTGGGAGAAAGATGAGGTGTTCTACTCCCTTAAAGAGTTACAGTCTGGGAGACTCACAGGGGTATAGTTGGACCTTGTCTTATAGAGCGGCTGTGTCCCAATCGACTCAATGTCAGGGAGTTTGGCTGTGACCTGGGTTTACCAGCTCAGAATCCTGCAACGTTACTTGGAGGATAGTCCGCACAAGTTCTCTTTAAAATATGTACAAGCAAGGCTGTTACTTTGAGACAGAATAGAACTATTCTGTAGGGTTTTCCAAGGCTGTAAATCTTGATGGGAACAGACCGCATCATCATTCTCTGGCAGAGAGGCTTGAACTCCTGACTCCGTGGTTGGCAGCTTAACCTATTGTGCCACCAGGGCTCCTTGGTCAACAAAAAACTCACACCCACCGCCATCAAGTTGATTCTGACACATATCGCCCCTCTAGAACAGAGTAGAACTGTCCCTGTGGGTTTCTGAGACTGAAACTCTTTACAGGGGCAGAAAGTCTCATCTGTCACCCGAGGCGCAGCTGGCTGGTGGTTCCCAAGAAGCCACCAGGACTCCTTGTTAATGTTGTTGTAGTTCGGTGCCGTCGAGTGGGTTCTGACTCAGAGTGACCCTGTGTAACAGAGGGAAACACTGCCAGATCCTTTGCCATCCTCATAATTATGCTTATGTTTGAGCCTGTTGTTGCTAATAGGAACTTGACAAATGGTGGCGAGGGTGCAGTACCAAAGATAGCCACTTGAGGACACTAGCCACTAATATTTAAAGAGAGCCCCAGGTTACTAACAGAAAGCAGATAATTTTCCCTACAGTTTAGTTAAGTGCAGACCTCTCTTATCCTTAAAACATCCCCCCCGGCCGCCACCGTTACATTCTGGTGGATCGTAGTTAGTGATTGTGTTTGATGTTGTTTTTCTGATTCTTGGATTTTCATTTTTTTAAAACAATTTTTTGGGGGGCATATAATCCACCTATCATACAATTCCACAGTTCAATCATATGGCTTTTCGTTCTTGACCTTCATGTTGTTGGTCGTTCTCTTACCAGTCATAGATTTCTACCTGTTCCCTACCCAGGACGCTCACTTTGGACAGTGGTTTGTAAAGCATCATTTCTTCCGGGACCGGTTTGGTTTTGTTGGAATGACCGGCACAGGTCCTAGAACCCTGGCATCTGGGGATTGTAGTGAGTTTCTAGACCTTTCTTTCCTGTTAGGACCATTATCCTTGACCCTCAGCGCTGCATGCTGGACTGTCCCTGTCCCTCTGGGGGGCTCCCTGCCTTGTGGAGTTGATAGACCAGAAACCACTTTCTCTGAGGGTCAGGGCCAGGCTCCCCTTGGCTTGAATGACAAAGAAGAGGCAGCTGTATATGAAGGAGGAGGGTCTGAGGGCTTCAGAGACAAGAAGGAGGTACTGGGTTTGTCTGGGAAACAGAAAGATCTCCCAGAGCTGATGAGTTTAGGGATCTGTGCCCAGGCTGGGTCTTTTTGTTCCCTGTGGAAAGGAGGTGGGGTTTATTTTGAGTAGAGTAGTGAGCCAATGTGGGGTGTAAGCACCCCAGAAACATATTCTGGGTCTTTAAAAGGTCACTCTGCTGGTGTATGACAGGCAATTTGGTTGTTGGGCGGGAGAAAGTAGAAGCTGGGAGACCATTTAAACCAGGATCGGCACAAGTTTTCTGGAAAGGGCCAGCCAAGAAATCGCTTTACCTTTGTCATAAGGATTCAACTCTGCCAATATGTAAATGAGTGAGCTCATGAGACTTTATTCACAAAAATGGGTTTGTTTGCTGTTCCTGATTTTATTTTGTGATATTTTATTGGACTATCATTCATATAGCAAACATTTCAATAATTCAGTCCTATTAAGAAGAGTTGTGCAATGATCCATCTTAGAACATTTTCATCGTTCTTGTATTCCTGGTTGTTAGCCCTCGCGCCACACCCCCCTTCTGCCCAACCTCCCTGTCAGGTCCCTAGGGAATTATTAATCCAGTTACTGACTCTATGGATTTACCTTACCTGGGTTTCATATACAGACAATCCTAGAAAAACAAAATCAAGAAACAAAACAAACTTCCAACCCCTTCAACAGCAATGACAAGAGAAAACCTTAATTGAAGAGGAATCCTAAGATCGTCAAGACTGGGCTAAATGTCATATGGGTCCCAAGGGAGAGCTGGTGAGAAGGTATGACATTTTAACCGAAGCCATCAGCCCTTGTTGACTTTCCAGTGCTGGTTGTCGGAGAGCAAGGCTGTTCACCTCTCTGTGCAAAAGGTGACACTGGCCTGAGTGTCCAGGGTGGTCACAGTGGAGGCCAAGAGTAGTGGAGGGGTTCCCAAGAGCCTACGACTGCCTTGGGCCAGGACAGATGGGGAAAGGAAGATGATTTCCAGACTTCTGCCTTGAACCTATTAGTGGGGGGAGATGTACTCAGGGCAACCCAAGGTTCCGTTTGCGACCAGAAAGCGGATCCTAACCCTAGCTGTTAAGCCATCCAAGATATCAGTGGCGATGTGACTCTAGAGAAGAGATCAAAGCTCCACATAGATTTCAGACCCACCAGGTAACTTCAACCAGACACCCCCAACTGAACTCACTGCAATCGAGGGATCCTATAGGACAGGGTAGAACTGCCTCCATCACTGTTTCCAAGAGCAGAAAGCCTCGTCTTTCTCCTAAGGAGCAGCTGGTGGTTTCAAACTGCTCACGTTGTGGTTCGCAGCCCAGAGAGTAACCGGGCTCCAGCTGCAACGAGAAGAGAGGATGAATTCTGTGACTGGACCTGCTGTAACGCCGTCTATATCCACATCATTCCACTTAGCCCTGAACTTTTACTTTTGCTTATTGTTTGTTAAAGACACCTACTGCCATCGAGTTGATTCTGACTCAAAGCAACGGAGTGGTTTCCGAAGCTGTACATCTTTATTTACGGGAGCAGACAGCCTCATCTTTCTCTGGTGGAGCCCTGGGTGAATTTGAACTGTCAACCCTGCAGTTCTCAGTGCAACGCTTAACCCCATAGTGATACCAGGGCTCAGTTTTACTGTCTTTGTGAAATTCATGTTGTCTTTAATTGTCCCCAGCTTACCCTGCTGGTGGTATTAAGCATATAGCCAGTGCCTGAATATGCTAGGGAATTCATTGAAAAATCCATGTGGTCGCCTGGAAGTATTTAAATAGGCTGAGTCTGGATGGGGTAAAGTAAATGTTATCCGAAAGTCAAATGCTTAAGTAAGTTTCCTGGAAGCACATTGTAAATGAAGTTAACATTTATGGAGGGATTACTCTGTCAGGAATATTCATGGGGCTTTGGGTACTATTTGTCTCTGAAAGCCAGCATGTTTTAATAATAGTGATTTGATTCAAGCAGGGCCCACATTGCAAGGACACTGTTCAAATGCATGTATTTGGGGTGGGGGGAGTGTGCACGTGAGAGAGTGTGCTCGGCCGTGTGTGTATATGTATAGAAGAGAGAGTATGTTCACTTGTTCGTGCCCGTTGGACCAGGTTGCGCTCCGCTTTCTCATGTCAGTCACTAAATTTGGCTTCTGCATTCCAGTTGGTACTGATAGAAATTAATTTCTCTCGCTCCTGGGTCCTATATTCTAGATCAGCAGTTCGACACCCCTCCTTTTTGTGGGTCGCCTGATTCACCACAGTAGCAAAATGACAGTTATGAAGTAGCAACGAAAATAATTTTATGCTTGGGGTGTCACCACAACATGAGTGTCAAGACGAACCGAGGTACAGGACGAGTGGGAGGTAAACTGAGGCACAGGGAGACGGACAACGATAGCTGACAGGACAAAGGGAGAGCAGAAACAGAAACAGCTTTATTAGGGGGGAGCTCCCTGGCAAAGCCCCATGGTCTAGCAAGTAGCCCAGGGGAATCACAGGCTTTGTTTGGGGCCCAGGGTTTTTAAAGGAAAGTGGGGAGAGGGAGGTCCATGCAGCAGCAGCAAGGTTTATGGGCCAGGATGTCAGCACTGAGGTTTATGGCCTAGGAGGTCAGCGGTAAGGTTTATGACCCAGGATGCAGTTTATCAGCTCTGGCAGGTAGGGTGTCTAGTTGTCGGGGAGTCAGGCATCCCTGACACCGTTTCTTGGTCTTCTCATTCCAGGGGGTGACTGCTGACCTTCGGTGGGGTGTGGTGGTGTGCAGGGGAGCAAATGGGGCCCTGCCTGTTGAAGCTTAGCCCAATCAATGAGGAACTGTATTAAAGGGTCATGGCATTAGGAAGGTTGAGAACCACTGTTCTAGGTCTTTCTATCTGTATATGAATTCTGTTCTCTCTCTTTTAAACCTGCTCTGACCTCACTTTTTTCTTCCTTCTTGGAACTTTGCTTTAATCTTTTATGTGTTCACTTGGCTATGTTATTTCTATGTCCTCCCCTTCCTCCCCTCTCTCTTTGTAAGTGATCAGTTGCTGTTTACTTTTTGTCTTACTTGTCTACTCTCCGTTTTCTCATCCCTTTATTTCATCTCCTCCCTTTTTAAATTTTAACGATTCTTAACAGCTTTATGGAGGTCGCATCGACACACCCTAAGTGCCACCCAGTTGAAGCGCACGATTCAAGGATGATCAGCGTGTTCGCCAACATCACTTCCTGTTGGATCACTTGTCATGCTCACCTTAGTGCGAGTTTTTCTTAGCAGCCTGAGTCCTGTGGATGAGATTCTGCTCACGTGTGTCTTTGTTTCCCCTCCATTTCCAGCTGGGGGGCACCATCGGAGACATTGAAGGAATGCCATACGTGGAAGCATTCAGACAATTCCAGTTTAAGGCGAAGAAAGAGAATTTCTGTAACATCCATGTTAGCCTTGTCCCACAGGTAGGCTGTCTGTAAAAGAATGTGGACAACAGCTAGAGGGCCCAGACCAGCAGCTCGAAATTAGAGGAGGGCTGAGAGAACGGAGAATGAGGCTGGCAGCTCCAGGGTCACAATACAGGAGTTTATGAAACACTGACTTGAAAGGCCTAGCCCTGGGCAGCAAGAAGGAAGACTTGAGTCTCGTGTCCTCTGGTGGCTTTTATACCAGGGCTCCGACCCTCCAAGGTCCTCCCAGCAGGTATGATAACAGAGCTTCTATAAGAGTGAGCTCATTGAAATGAGCTAGCAGAATGCAAGAGCTAAGCCATATGTGGCCCCATGTAGCCAGTTTCCCCTATAGGTTAAGTTCCTAAACTTATTTGGCTTCTCATTTCCTTTTCAGAAAAAAAAAACACATTCCTCAGTGCCCCCATGGCAAATAAAACCTTTTGGTTTATAGCCCTATTACCCAGGATAAAGTGTAGGTATCTGCTTTTGCAACCCACCTGGATTGTTCTGGCGTTACCACCCACTTTGGGAAACACTGCTGTAGAGTTACTTGGCCATTTTCCTAAGTTATCTTATTTAGGTCACAGTTTGAAGGAATAAAGGAAGCCATTAATTATCCAGAAGCGCTAGCTCTCCAATGACCCAACTCTAATATTTCTTTTCAGCCGAGCACAACTGGAGAACAAAAAACCAAGCCCACGCAAAACAGTGTCCGAGCCCTGCGAGGCCTCGGGCTCTTTCCAGACCTGGTAGGTTAAGGAGCGTGGGTAAGTCTCCATCATCTCATGAAATAATCGCATGAAATAGGACTTGTATTTCTTCGTCTAAGATATCATCTAAATCTCCTAGCTCTAAAATGGGTCCTATGACATTGAGCTTTTTAATTGTATTTAGTGAAATGTG